TCACCCTGCTGTCATACACGATCCATTTTTTGTGTGTGCTACAAAAGAGCTTCTGCTACTGCTGCTGCTTAAGGAATCCAGCAGGGCTGCACCAAAGGGGGGACTTCCCCACTCTTTTAAAGTCTCTCTCCCCCCCCAAACCTAACATAATGCTCAGATTTACCAGTCTCATTTTAGCACAACACTATTTCACGTAGCTCCAAAATTGAGGCAGAATAGTGCACAATTTGAAAGTGCTCACCTCTTTGCAAAGGGTAACTGTTAAACTCTTTAAAAAAAAGTAATGACGGCCAATTTTTATTTATTTTTTTAAAGCAGCAAATAAGCCAAGTCTTCTTCCACCTATTTGAAGGTGTATATTTTGGCGGTATAAGCTTATAAGTGTTCCAATTTGTGATAATGATTTCTTCCTTTATTCATTGTGCAGTTCTTACAAGTGCCTTTCAGGCTTATTTATTATGCCACCCTTCATTAAACATTTCAAGGCAGCTCACCCCAATATAAAATTCATTAAAATCAAGTACATTAAAACAACCAACACGGCAGCATCTTTGGAAATTTGAATAAATACGATAAGCTGGGCTATTCTAACCGAGCTTGTTATTTTAAAGAACTTGCCAAGATCCTGGGGAGGCTTGACCCTCCCCCTCTTTCCTTCTCAACCTCCTGTTTACGAATCGTCCCATTGTTGGAAAGTTTTCTCTTTCGACATCAAATGTGAGTGCATTGGACTTGTTTGGCAATTGTTTGCTTACATATATGTAGAATGAGAAAGCACGGCAGTCACTATCCCCAGTCAGTTCAATGACACATCTCTGACTAGTCTCTTGGCCAGGCCAGGGTCACCTGTCCTCTGTTCCATGACCAGCTGTTTTAGGGTGCTGTTACTTTGTCGTGACTATAATACACATTTAACCAGTCCAAATGAGGATAATTAAAACCACCCACCCATTGTTAGAACTTTTCATCCTTGAGATGTCCCATTGAATTCATTCCCGATTTCAGGATCACACAGAGTATTTTAGCTGAGGCTGAGATAGTATGTTCCCGGCAGTTAATTGCTCTTGGGGCCTGGTATTGCTACCCATATATGTGAAGGAATATGCGGAGGAACCCTCCACTTTTAGGATTTATAGTTTGCCAGATTCCATGTCCTCTTTGACTGGTGGGATGGTGAGCCTCAGGCCCAGGGGGTGCCTCTCTTTCTGGCCTCAGAAGCCTCTTTAGGCCATCCCTCTTTCCCTGGCCTGAGAGCTTTGGTCTGGCTGGAATGTGTCCCTGAAGTCTGATAATGCCTTGTGCTTGTCTAGATGGGAAACAGTGTGTGTGTGTGTGTGTGTGTGTGTGTGTGTGTGTGTGTGTGTGTGTATGTAGAAACTCACCTACCGTACAAAAAGTAAAGATTGCATTCATTGATCCACTCCCTTTTGTCTCTTTTTGCACTCGCCACTGACACGCAGCCTTTGGAAGGTTGGCCAGAAAGGAAAGTCATCCTTGGGCTGAAAAGGGTTCCCTCCCCCTTATAGACAGAACGAGACCATTGTTAGTACACCTTTCCTGGTGTCTCTCTAAATGTCTCTGGCCCATGTGGTTTCACCTCTTGGCTCTTGGGCTCCTTTGCACTTCTATCGCGTCCCCTCACATTTACATTGCCTGGTTCTACCCTCTCCCATTTGCACAATCAAACATTTTTGCCCTCATCCCTTCAGGATTATTTGTCCTGAACCGGAGGCTCCAAGCTCCTGCCCACTTTCCCCACCAGCAATCACCTTAAAAGCTGCTTGCACGCCTTTTTGATTTCAAATACCAGCAGTCTGGTTCCTTACTGGCTCAAGTGGTGCTCACTCTTATGGGACAGGCCAGTATTGTCCCAAAGTGTTCCGTGGTGCCTGTTATGAAACCTACAACACCAGGGCTTAGACCTGGAATGGCAGAATTTGGAGGAAGACAATGAGGGAGATAAGAATGAATGAGATGGGCAAGCTGGATGGCCTTCCCTTCTTTCAGGCATGTCTGGTTCCATTGTTCACATGGGAATCCCAGCTCCTTCCCTTTCTTTCAACCAAAAGTCATGTTTGAAGGCCTTTGACGTGGTCTGGAAGGTCGCATCGGTGCTCCAACACGACTTCTGAGCCCCGCGTTGTGGGTGCTAAGCACCCGCATTTTTATGGGTGCCTTGGCACCCAGAGCCCCCTAGTCCTGACGCCTATGAAGGCAGGCGTGTCACCATGCAATCTCTGTGCTCATTTCTTCACATTTTATGTACATAAAAATGTTTCTTTTAAGGAATCTTAACAAAAAAAGCTTACAATTACTGGTGGAAGGCTTTTAATGGGACTTTTAAAACACACTTATGCCTCAATTCCACTTGCTGAATATTGTTTTAGTTGTTCCATAGTAAGCTTCTGCTTATACCTCAGCTACTAAAGCTCTCTCAGCATCAATGAGAAACCAAACAGCTTCCCAGATGGGAGGAAAAACTGTTTAGTTTTTAGATCTTCCCACTTTCTCCAGACACTTGAAATCTTGTTTACTTTATGGTTTGCTCAAACAAATGTGCAGAATTCAAACGAAGATGCATTCCTTTGAAGCTGAAAATATGTTATATCTCTTATTCCAGATATAAGCATGTCTAGGATGGTCTCATCTGTAAACTGCCACTTTAAAAAAACAACAACAACAAACCAGTGATGAATAATAATGATACAAGGCAATTAATATTCTTCCAATGGCTACAGTGTTGAGGACCACAAATATGAATAACATGACCTGCACCACAGAGGTTCATTAGAAATACACAAAAGGGCAAGAATACAATCATAGCAGATTAATGTCACGCTTCCATCAGTGTGGCTGTCAATGTGCTTGAAATATTTTTGCTGCAGCACTGGCCTCTTGAGTTTAGTGAACAGACTCAGGAATAAAGAGGCTGCAGCTCCCCATTTACCTTGCAGACCACCCTGATTAAACCCCTAGAGCAGCATCCCCATACCAGAGAAACATACCCAACCAAAAGTTGGTCACCCCAAGCCACTGTTGCCAAATAATCACAAAGTCCATACAGGCCAGCAAGATAAGGTTCCTTACTTGTCAATAACCTCCAAATCATTGCTTCTCAAGTGTAACACAAAGACTTGTACAGGCTGCAAAACATGGCCAGACTCAAAGCAATGTTGGCAGGAGGCAATCCCAGGTCATAGGGAAACCCCCCCCCTTGATCACTAAAAACCCAGATCCTGAAAAATTCCTGGAAAGCCACTGCAGAGCAAAGTCACACCACAGAAAAGTAAACAAACAACAAACCTGCCCCTTCTGAAGCCAATATGTTTTAGATTGGTGAATCCAACCGAGTACAACACACACACACACAAACACACACCCTTTGAAGGTGAGATCCACCAATTCTAAAGCAGTGCATGAACTGTCAGCCCTAGAGGCTGCCATCAGATCAACATACAACTCCCCCTACCCCCCACAAGGGCAGTCAGTGCTGCCACATGGAACAAGAATTGTTGAAAAGATGAGGCACATACCAATGCCCATTGGGCCTTCAGTCCCTTTAACATTTCCCTTCAAGTTCTCCCACACTCTTTAGTCCTCAGTAGCGTAAGGCACCCCATTACTTTTCACCAGAAAGATCAGGCCAGCCAGGTTCCCTCACATGGTTCTCACAGGCAAACTGCTACTGTGCACACATATACAAAATACCACCAGGTGGTTGAAGAAGATTGGACAACATTCCTTATAACTCCTGGCCACCCTAAAGCCTTACCTGTTCCAGTATGAGGGCAGGCTATGTTAGGAGTGACTTCCATATCCCTTAGAACTTCAAGAACCCACCCCACTTCTGGGATGGTCTCAGTAGGGCCATGCAGGGATTGTCTGAGGCTCTGAGTGAGAGTCTTGTTAGAACAAAGTTATAAACTTAAACCAAACAGTAGCCAGTCCCTGCCAGGGCCCCTGGGCAGCTTAGCCTCCCCACCCACAATCCTGGGGAATGTGTATCTGCCCCCTTCCCCTATTCTGCCCTATTCTTGAGAAGGGCTACTAGCGGTTATAGTCCACAGAAGCTGAACCCCTGGCCTACCTGGCAGCAAGTGAGTTTGTCAGGTCCTCAGTCCAGGATCAATTGGCATATCCAAAGTCCTGCAGAAATCCTGGCTCATGCTGAAATCCATCAGTATGAGCAACTGCAGCCACAGCCCTCCGCTCTGCTGCCCTTTTATAGCTTGCATTCTGATTGCAGCATCTGGGCTTGATGAGGCATGTGACCCTCACCTGTTCCGAGCCTACTCCACCTCCTCCCAAAGCTAATGAGCCCCACCTGGCCAGCTAGGGAGCCAGGCTGTGGGCCCTTGCCTGCCTCAGCCTCCTAAAGCACCCCTCCTGCTGCTTCCTATGCCTCAGAGCCCACTGTGTTTGTGGAGACAGGGGTCTCCCTGGCTCTGGTGAAGGGTCCAGCTGTTCTGGTTCCTGTGCACTGACCTCCCCCCCCATCCCCTTGTCATCCTCAGTCACCCTGTGAGTACTTCCTACACCAACTTTTACTTCCCCACCCCCAGCTTGCACCAGTGTCTCACAGTCTCACATACACTCCTTTCCCTCCTCTTCCTTCTCCCCATTGTCCTGCCAGTACACGGCACCTTGTGAGGTGGGTGGAGCTGGCCATTTAAGACTCAGGACTTCTTGGTTGTATGGGGGAAAAAAGGTTTTTAGGTGTTACCCCACTTACTTCAAAACATTCCTGCTGTATTTGGGGGCTCTCCTGCTCCTTCTGCTGTGAGGAGCCCTAGACACCTGTCCCTAAGTCCTGCACTGATGTATTTATTATGTTCTTTATTAAGCCTATTTATACCCTGCCCTTCACCTCAACAGAGGACAAAATATAGCTGATAACATCACTGTTGCACCCCCCGCTCCAGGGGAAAGAATTATATTCAAGGAAAAAAGCCAAGCAGAAATGCAGCCATTTGATTGATTTGATTTATATATTTCCACAGATGAACAAATGTGGGACACAAGCTCCAGTCTGGCTGTCGCTTGAGCCTGACTCCCTCCCGCAGCCTGGTGAGAGAAAGCAGCTCACCGCCTGTGCTACCTGGCAGTTCTTTTTCGGAAGCATCAAAGACTGTTGTCTGTTCCGGATACCCATATCGGTCAGACATTGTGGAGAGTTCTTTGTTTATCTCTTGCAACCAACTCAGGGGTGCATGGGCTACTGCGCGGAAGGTGGGTTTCGTACAGTCCATATTTGTCACCCAGATTGTATATGCACCTCTTTTCCTACGTGCTCAAAGGTTGCGTTATTGCTCTGCACATCCCAGTGACCTTGCAAGTCAAGCATTGCTCCCAGTAAGATGCAGACAATGTAGCTAATCAATCAGCAACAGCCCAGGGTGTTTCTGAGGAATAGCTGTTATTACTTTGGCAGAATTTAATCTACAGCATGTTACCAAGGTATGCTTAGCTTGGTTACACTTCCTACGTAACCTTTATTGCAGCCTTTTGTGTCCACATTTGGTTTAAAGAGCAAAGCTAACTGGCTGAGCATGTTTATTACTGTTTGTTTGTTTGTTTGTTTACATCACAGAGTGGCATCTAATACTGAAATGATCTATGAGAGATAAAATGATGATTTGAAAGCCCTTGAAAGGATGCCAGGGAGGGAATTAGAAAACAGCTTTTTGGTGACTTTATTCTTTATAATTACTTTTGTCAAAAATAAATGCCAAACCACCAAAATAGTTCTAGACTCTATTCTATATTTCAAAAACAAAAGGAATGGCAGATAGCAATTCCTCACTCTGTTACACCTTCTGAACTCTGAGTCTTCAAGTGCATATAGATTGTTAGAAATGATTCTCCCTTAAGAGACTCACAAAGGCACAGATCATTATTCCTCTGTATTTGCCTTTGGGACCTGAATCTTATTGCACAAATTGGATCTCTTGGATTCAACACAAAGACTAGAGCTATCAGCTTTTCAAAATCCTGTTTCTGCAAGTCACTAACCATAGCTATTTAGGTGAACTTTTCTGCCATTCCGTCATGTCTTAGTTTGAATGGAAAGGAACACTGAAATATTAATTTGTGATTGGACTTCTGTTTCTCAAAAGACTCCCCATTGCTGTCCTGTATGCTTGGAACTGCTTCCCTGAACACCTGTGTGATCCTAATTCCAATTTTTATCCATAACTCTCCTCAAAACCTTCCTTTTTTAAATGAAGGTTGTAGCACAACCTAATTCTCATTCCCTACTAAAACTAAGCCTAAGTATGTGGAACTGAAATAATTCCAGATTTTATCAATGTTTACTCCCACCTTTACTTCCTTTCCCTTCTTCTGTTGTTTCCCCTGGTTTAGATTTTAGGGTTGGATTGAACTAAGGTGTCACATCAGTGGTAGCCCTGTGCAAGAACTTCTACTTGTTTCCCCTCCTTCCCCTCACGCCCCTCCCTAAGATTGGCTCAATTGTGATAGTGGTTGAGAGTTGAGAGAACCCCCAGAACAGTGGGGGATAGAGGGAGATTATTCCTTTTGGCCAGATGAAATGCTTGCCCTGATGAAACAATTGCCTTAGTGCAAAGTTGAATTCCACATCCTCATATATTATAAGCTACTAAATGCAGGGAGGTTTCCTTTGGTACTTTGTACAGCATCATGCAGATAGGCAGCACTATATGAAATAATTACAATAATTTCTCCTTTATGTCAATGAAAAATAAGTACATTCACTTGCCAAATGACAGCTTGTCTGGTGTAGTAGTTAACAAGTTAGTGTATTGAACTAAGACCTGGGAGATCATGGTTCAAATCCCCATTCTACCATGAAGCTTCGGTGACTTTGGGTCAGTCATGGTTTCCCAACCTGACCTACATTACATAGTTGCCCTAAGGATAAAATGCAGAGGGCAGAATTAGTCATGCCACTTTGAGCATCCAGGGGGGGTGGGGCGGAAGTGGGATATAAATGTAATAATTAAAATAAACTTTCTTAAATCTCTCCTATTGAAATCAGTATGACTTAACAGTGGTTGACCTTGGCTGGATTGTGAATTTCATAATATGCACACTCCCAAAAACAACAACAATTTTATTATTTATACCTTGCCCATCTGGCTGGGTTCAACAGCAGAAGACAAGAGTGCTCTCTGCATTTTACTGTTTGCACCTGAGTATGGATGTATTTGGCACATTCATTGTAAATGGGACACATACTTAGGAATGCCTGGGTTTCAGTGAAATATATACAAAACTAAGGACAATCGTTTCAAGATGTCCAGTTCTTTGATTATTGCAACAGAAGCAGAACATTTAAATTCACATATGCCTTTCACAACAGGCATGCTACTATAAATTTTGTATTTGGGAATGAATGAGAACTTTGGAAGTTTTTCAGACCAATGAGTCCAATTAAACAACAACACACCTCTAAACACTAGTTTTATCACTTCATGGGGCCATACTAATCTCATTTTATTTCTTTAGCTGTTAAAGAACCACAATTGAACTATTTTGGTCCCAGAGGAACTGGAGCAGACATCAACTTCCAAGGTAATTTATTAATGTTAGCATCAAATATGTGTTGTTATTTATTGGAACAGAATAGCTGGGATCCAAAAGGCCATGAAAAATGTTCCACATTCACACCTGTGCTTTTATAGTGCAGTTGCAGCTTGCCCCACCCCACACCTATTCAGCTGAGCTGCAGCAACACCACTGTTGGAAGGACAGCTTTGCCCTACTACACCAGCTACTGCTGGTGAAACCAGTCTATATTTTCTAGTACTATCTCAATTATAATGATTTCTTGGCTAAACTATTACCCCACTCAAGTGCATCATGCCCACACTCTGTTTTTCTTTGTACACAGGGGCATCTCAACTCCCACCTTTACAACCACTTGTCACCCCTGAGCTTTTGGGAGGCCACGTCTACCTCAAATGCACTTTCAGAACTCCAACTTCAGATCCGTCTATAGGTTATGCGGTGATCTGGTCACGCCTTTCCAAATCCAGAGCGAAAGAACAGCTTCATCGTGACACAACACTGCAGACATTCTCCTACGTGGAGATGGATGGAGTTAATTTCAGATTGGGAGATACGGTAATGCTTTCTTGAAAACAAGGTCAAGCGTTCAGAGGAGCTGAATCTCTCTGCATTTATTTGTTTGTTGGTTTGTTTTTAGCTCTTATTAACTGTTCTCTTGAATCTGAATTTGGCCTGAATCTAAAAGACAGTCCCCAAGTGGGAGTACATTTTAATATAATGTTATTAAATGCTATTTATCAAGTTTAGAACCCTGAGCATTCCAATGCATTAGATGAAGTTCACTTATGGTATCCAATTTATTTATCAGAACTTTGGTTGTTGCTACATATCATAGCATTGCTTCTTTTACAACTTACGCCTAAAAATGTCACTGATTAAGGATATGTGTATCATGTCATGGCACTGCTGTAATGACAAACAGGTTTGGTCAGTCTGATCAAAGGACTTACAGCACTAGCCTTACTTTCACAAACCAATCCATGTGTCCAAACCTGACATTTTCTCATCTTAGCAGCATCATAACTCTTCTTCTGGATTTCCCTCATTTTCTCATAAATAGAAAAGTATTTCAGGGTTAGAGAAAACCCTTAACTCTAGACAAAGAGCAACTTGGTCTGAAATGAGTAAATGACCTAATAATAACAAATAATTCATTATTTGTATCTGACCAGCTCACCCCAGCTGCTCTGGGAAGCTTCCAACATATATAAAAACATAACAAAACATTAAACCTTAAAAAAGCTTCCCTATACAGGGCTGCTTTCAGATGTCTTCTAAAGTTACTAATCTCCTTGACATCTGATGGGGTGGGGCATTCGATAGGCTCTTGAAGGGTTTTTTTGAGGACACAACAGTTCTGAAGAATAAAACTCAAAAAATCCTGTTATGTTTTAGATGCAGATAGCAGGGGTGCCAACTTGAAAGAAAAATGGTGTATGTGTGTGAGCAGGTAAGCCCCACCTGCATAATTACTCACATAATGTGGCACACACATACACACCATTTGAATGGCAATGCCCATCAAATGGGTGGGGGCTTCGCCCTCTCCAATATTTGATAGGTGGGGCGAAGGGACCTCGACCCCTAGGAGTTGGCTCCTGTGGCATGTAGGCTATCTTTGGTGAAGTGGTCTAAAGCCAGGCAAAGGGCTAGATTGCAGCAAATTAACAACAGTTTAGGACAAAATAAGACAAGGCATCAAATAGCACTAGCAAGGACAAGTAATCCTGATCTTCCATTGCTGCTCTTTTAAAAGGAACACACACACACACACACACACACACAAACACAAGGTGTGTGTGTGATTTGTGGTATGTGAGACCTTATTTGAGGAATTGCTACCTGCTGTTCCTTTTGTTTATGAGGCCTCATTTGATGCTCCAAAGTTGTAAACTGACCTTAACACCCATCCAGTGCTCTGCATGTGTATTTTCTGATCGTGATGTAAACTGAGGCATCTGTTGGGTTTAGTGGCAGAATCAGCCCGTTCTTCTGTCCCTTGGCAGTGCAGTCTTCAGGAACCTGCACTCATCTCCCTATCAGCTTATTTTTCTGAAAGCTGCTGCATGGTTCTGAGTCAAAAGGAGAGGAAAAAATGTTAAAGCTCTGCTTCCAGTTGACTGATATCCATCTACGCTACTTTCCACACATTTCAAACTCTCTCAGCGATATCGTTCAAGCATAATACAAAATTTCCTTCAAGTTGTTGTTCATATCATAGCTTTAAATAGAGTCATTGAGCTTTACTGGTCCAATGGAGTTTGAGCTTTTATTAGCATCTCTTTAGATGAAATTGCTAAGGCCATTTCTTCATAATGCTTATAAGAGCATTTTCCCATACTTTAGGTCCCAATCAGGCCATTCTGGAAACTGTGTCGGCAGAGAAATGTTTGCAAAACTACTGCAGCTTTAATAAATAAATCTATAATCCACTGCTCCCCCTCCCTCCCACCTCGTAAACACTCAACATAGCCCATTCCATCTGATTTGAAATTGTAGCAGTTCCTAAGCCCAATTTAGATTATATTGACAGAGGTCATTCCATACCTGGAGGTACAGCCATCTGTAAATTACAGCAGGCACAGTGTGTGCAATGGGTAATGCTAAGGAAGCAGGATGTGCCAAAGAAACTGGCCAGGTTTTGCTCTGCACAGCAATTTGAAAGTTCATGCGGTGAGATGGCATACATTTTTTAAAAAAGCTTATGCAAAATCACTTTTTTAAAAAAAGTTTGTCAGTGGCAGTGGCCATCTTGCTGATAGGTTACACTGTTTGCAAATGCAACAGCAATAAAATAAAATAAATTCAGCTCCATATACAAGCTTATAAACTGATTTATCTCCACATTAAGATTAGAGAGAGAGAGCCGCTTAGCTTCCACCATGAAACGAAAAGGAGAGAAGTTTTTTCTTTAATTACAGCCTTTCACAACAGAACAATAACTCTACATACATTCTTTTTAAAAAATAATCTCCGCTAATAGTAAGGTTTCTGATGTTTTGGAATGAATTTTCACATTGAGATTCCATATTTCAATATGCACAGATTTGCTTTGGTTGACAGTTTCATTATGAATAAAAACAAAACACAGAGCAACCCTATCTGAATTAAGCATAATCTCCATTACAAATGTCTCTGACTTTAATGTAATCTTTGTGGATAACTCAGAGAAAAGCTCATTGTGCTGGAAATGCCAAGAAATTCAGTGCATTTTATGGTCCTTTAGGAAAGAAGTAATATGGAGCACATGTTAGCCTCCTGTTTGAATGCAGGAAGATGCAAAGCAGAGGTCTTCACTTGTATACACAGGGCCCAGGGACCCCGGGAGCCAGGCACATGTGATGCTGTGCCTTCACCCAATGATCAAGACTTCCCAAAAGGCACCATTGCCACCTAGGCCTAGGTGTATCAACACTCACTAGACAAAAAAACAACCCTGAAACTCCATCAGCGGCCAGCAGGGTATCATTGGTGGGTCTGCATTGCTGACCTGGCTTCCCAATACCATGTATCACTGCCTGTTTCTGAGAGGGAGAAGGCCAAGGCAGCAAGGAACTTAGCACGGTGGGAATACAGAGCCAATCTGATGCTCCCACCACTGTACCAGCACCACAGCAGGCTCTCTGCTGCCTTGGCTCCCCACCCTCTGTAAGGCAGTACACATGGGTCTAGAACTAGTCAGCCCTGATTGAACCCCTTACAACTGATAATTTTGTTTTTAAAATTTTCAAAGCGTGCCTAAAACAGGTACTAGGAACCAAATGCTGCATCGTGAGGGTGGTGATTTTGTTCTCCACCCATGTCACAGATAATTTACACATATAATTGCTATATTAACATGTGGATTTTGTTTTAAAAAACAAAACAGGTTTAAAGTATATTGCTCCTCTACACATTAAGTTTTAAATGCCTTGATACATGCAACAAGAACTGTGTCGCAACATTCAGAGAAGCAGAAAACCTGGAAGGAAAGCCAAGTTGTGATTTGCATGTTAGTCTGAGGGTGTGGGGTCAGGTCCTTTTGTTTAGAGACTCAGACTGAATTCCAACAAGTATAACGAGGCTTCACCAGGAGATACACAATGAAATATCTCTCAGAAGCTGGAAAAGTTTGAAAATTTGCCCCAGATAATTGGGTGCAAATAAATCTAAATGGGCATAAGCTCCATCTGAAGCACATTAAAACTGGTCATCAGCAAGGCCATCCTCTTCCCCACTTGCATTTGCAAAACTCTATCTGCTGTTATTATGCCTTCTCAAGTTCCTGGATCTCATTACTGTCTTTAGGCTGAATATGCCAGTCTCTTTTTTTTATATTGCAAGTGTTTTAAAAATACTGACAGTAGGATTTTATCTTACTGAAAAGCTTTGGGGGGGGGGAGTACCCAACCACAGAGTAGTCAGTCAATGTTGCATTCATACTGCCTGCAAGGTACCTTTTTCATTCTCCTCCCCCGTCCCTTGAAATGATAAGATGATAAAAGGAGGGGGGGAATCTCTGATAGCGGAGTTACAGAGTAGAAGCCAATATTCAGCTGGAGGCAAGAAACTCCTAAGGAAAGCTATCTTAATAATTATGTGACAAACTGTCAAGTCTGTAGATCAGTGACCAATGCGCATATCTGATTGTGAGAAGTTCACACCTGAGTTGTAGAAGAAGAAGAATTCATCCTCAAAAAGGAAGGAGCTGTGCACATAGTATAATGGGTACGGAATGCACAGTACTTTTCCAATGCAAATATTGTACTTCCCTTCTTGATTTTCCTGGATTGCATTCAAAATCACATACAGTGCAATACAGGTGAGACTAGATTTTTCAGATTTCCCCTTGGAAGCATCTTAATATTGAGTCAGATGTACGGCCCACCCAGGTCAGTATTGTTTACACTGACTGGCAGTGATTTTCAAGGTTTTCAGGCAGGAGTCTGTCTCATCCCTATACTCTGGTTTCTCTTCAGATCATATAAATCTTTCGTCTTTTACTAAAGATTCCCGTGGCTGGAGAAGCCAGGGACCTGGGACTTTCTTCATGCAATGCATGTACCCTACATATATGATTCATCTCCAATGTTTTAAAGGGAACCATGTGGAATTTACAAATTTCTTCCAGGACTTCCAGAAAACTATAATATGAACTATTTATCCTAGACCTACTTTGGTGAAATAACCAAGTTAGACTAGTGGTCTATCTTAGCTCAGCGTTGTCTCTACAGACTGGGATCAGCTCATCAGAATTTTATGCAGGGGTTCCTTCCCAGTCCTACCTGCAGCTGGTGGGGAATGAACCTGGGGCATCCCACCTGCAGAGCAGATTCTGTGCCACTAAGCTATGGCTCTTCCCCAAATTTCAGTGGGAACTATGGATTTGGATTGCATATTCATTTTGTAAAGGGGTAAATGCATTAACATTGGCCACCTCATGAGACGAGAAGACTCCCTGGAAAAGACCTTGATGTTGAGAAAGATGCAGGGCACAAGGAGAAGGGGACGACAGAGGACAAGATGGTTGGACAGTGTTCTCGAAGCTACCAGCATGAGTTTGACCAAACTGTGGGAGGCAGTGGAAGACAGGAGTGCCTGGCGTGCTCAACACTCATCCTTTTTTATTATTATTTTTGCATCCTTTTTTTTTTTTACAAAAATGAAAAGTTCTGGTATAAGGACCACTTCACATGATACAGATTTTTGTTCAAGGTACAGTACTTGCTGGTTTAGCCTTGGAAAAGGGGAAGGGAAAAAAGTTTACTAGGGTGAAAGAACCCCATTAAGATAGTAGATGGTGTGTTGCCTCAGTGGAGATAACAATTGTATCGCTACTGTATGAGCAAACATAATTGGCCAGAACTCTTGCGCTTTCTGAAAAATAGACCTTGCTGTCCTTTGGACAGTGTTTGTACATTGGGTAAAAGCAAGGAAATGGCTTCTCAAAACCGAAGCTCAACATATGATATAAAAGGTATCTCTGTCTTTTTAGAAAGGATTTATTTTAACCTAAACTAGTGCAAAGCCTTGTCCCTTGAACACAGCCTAAGAAAGCAGGCAGTGCGTTTCTGTATGGGAGCTATACTTAGGTTGTTGGATAGAATTTGGATAGTACAATACAAATGCACAGCCTCCCTCTTTCCTGGTAAATTAGGCTGTGACCCAAAAGCTACGTAAGCTGAACTCAACAGCTGATCTTCCCTCTCTGAGGTTTTTTATTTTGCATTTTTCTTTGAGCAGCAGGCTTCATATCATACCACAAAATGATTTCACAAGCCCCTCATTTTCTCGGTCTTTTGTCATCTGCTGTCAAGGGATGTTGTCCAAGAAACATATTCCAAAGAGAAGTTAAGCATGTAGAACTAGCTCAACAGTTCTTTTGAGTCTTGCCACAATCTCCAATTCATTGACCCACACCCAATGCCCTGCCATTGGGACACAACCTTTCTTTAAATGCCAGGGCTTATCCCACTGGTGACACTTGTGTGATCCCACCCAAACTGAGCCCTGCACGATGGTGTCCTTAACATGACAGTTATGCCAATCATCTTTATTTTCCTGATAAATTTTCCTGATATCAGCTTTGATAAAACCAAATAAAATAAAACATAGCCACCACAAAAACCTGGTGGCCACTTTGCAATGAGCCCCCCCCCATCCTGGCCACCCTTTTAAAAACCATAATATTCTAGAAACAGGATTTCAGGCACATTACATTTTGGAAAGTAAAGTGGCAGCTGAGACTATGGCTGTATAGAGGACCACCTCTCTTCAGGACCTGGACAACACTCTGCTAAGCATCACTAAACTCTTGCACATCCCCTCTTAAAGCCAGCTATGAAGATAGGTGCATGCACTGATGTGTAGCCTGAGGGTTACAGTTGTGCTTCTCACAGTAAGCATGCAACCTTTGAAGGACAGATATGTGTGTCATCAAAGCCCTGTTTGAACAAGTTTAGAATAGAGACAAGGGAACGTGCACAATCCCTGCCTCCCATGTCCCTGGCCATGTTGCCTGGTCTTCAGACCATGTGATTAGCACAAAGGTCTCTAAAGGGTTTTGAAAACATTTTCAGCTGAACTTGCGTAGAAGCTTCCTCACAAGTGAAAACTCTGGCTTGTCAAGGTTTCTAGTAGTGGGGACAGTTTCTAAGCACATTCAATCAAACATACTTTAAATACAATGCACTGCAATGCACTGCAATACAATACAATACAATACAATACAACCTTCAGAAATCCATGCAAAGATCTAAATTGCAGCTTGAGTGCCGATGGATGTTGAAGGCAAGGCTTGCATGTGTGTCCCTGGAACATGAATGTCTGATTAACTATTTCAGAAAGGTTCAAATTGCCCCTGGGTGTTTTGAGAGGCATGTCTGCCATTAATGTTTTTTTGTTTTGTTTTTTATGTATTTATGCCTGAAAATTGTGGTGTAGAACAAATACAGCTGCAGAAATCACTACACAATCACCACAAATCAGCTTTAATGTTCTACAGTGGTACCTCGGGTTACAGACGCTTCAGGTTACAGACTCCACTAACCCAGAAATAGTACCTCAGGTTAAGAGCATTGCTTCAGGATGAGAACAGAAATCGCGTAGTGGCAGCGGGAGGCCCCATTAGCTAAAGTGATGCTTCAGGTTAAGAGCAGTTTCAGGTTAAGAACAGACTTCCAGAATGAATTAAGTTCTTAACCTGAGGTACCACTGTACTGATTAATAACCAGATGCCCTAGTTTCCAGCTAGCATTATTTCTGAACGTCAAAACTACCTGCTCCAAGCCCTCTATACTTGCCTACCCAGAGTGAGGGATATCAGCTTTTAATTGCTACAGAAGACACCTATGGATATCTGTAAGTACATGGAATTTTCCATTTCAAGATATAGGAGGATGGCTGCCCCCCATGGGTTCCCCACTTGGCGAATGCATTGGCTTTGCAGCCAGCAAAGGGAAAGACAAAACAGCAAAATCAGTCTTCATAGAGTAGAATATCTCAGCCAAACCTTTACAACACCTTCAATCACTCTTCATAAACTCTTAATTTAAAAAGAAAAGAAAAAAAGTTGTAAAATGGACAATTTATTTATTGCAGGTCTTTTGCACTGTCACAGCTTTTAGGTGGGACTCTCCTGATCAACAGTCTTTCCCTGAAGAAAGCGATGGATTCTATGCTGGGATTAAGGTAACAGCAAAAGACCTCATTTAACAAACTTCTCTAGCATATCGTCAATGGAGATTTCTATATTAACCACCTTGCTCCGCAAGACAACACACTGTAAAATTGGCTTTGGTGATTATAAACAGTGTACTTCTTAGGTGCCCAAGGAGAAAATGTCTCCAAAAATTGCCTGCCATTCTATCAATCATTCTATCAGACTTTCTAAAGGCACTAACAGCTACAGCATCAAGGTGCCGAGAAATGTATTGTGAAAGCGTTTCATGTTCATTCACCTTCCGAGAGGTGATTATATGCAACCTTAAGTAGATAGGCACAGTTCTGCAAATTCAGAGTGATTTGGTCATAATGCCTGAGCACTTGCGGTTGTCTCTCACACAATGTGAAATAAAAGTTGAGACGTCTTTAAATGGACAGCTTTTGCAAAGACTGGCATTTAGCGTCTGCATCCTTTGAATGCTGCGCTCTCCCATTCACAAAACTCTGGGGGCAACCCCCCATTATGTTAATGGAGAATTTTAGCAGACTAAAACATTTTCTGACCTTGGCTGGCCATTCAGTAGCAGATATTTCATAAAAGAGCCTTTCTTTCCCCCTTTGTTAGCTTTTTCTGGAATGCAATATAAATAACTGGCCCAAAAAAGAAGAAGAAAAAAAAGAAGTCATTCCATTAAGGAGGCTGTAGTACAGATTAGTTTTCAAAAGCTGAGCCTATAAAAACAAGGACCTGCATGCTAAGTCTGCCATTATTATTTATGGGACAATACATTATTTATGGGGCAGACTTCACTTTGATTCATACCTAATGCCTTTGATGGGAGACCTAACAGCACAATCCCCATCTTTGGGTAATGTGGCATCTCTCTCTTTCGAAAACTCATATGACACCATAGACTGCAGAAACCACAGAGATACAGACTCCAGAGCAGGGCGAGGGGTGCATCTACCTGGCTCTCAATACCTAGCCCATGTCCCTTCTACAGGCTACAGTTCTCTCCGGCCCCATTTTGCTCCCCTCAAGTGTTTTTGTTTGTCTGGCATAACTCCTTGAACTGTGCTAATGCCTCTTGCTTGCCTGGAGGGTGAATGGAGAGAGATGTGTGTAAGAAACCTATAACTTTGTGTGGCTGGAATGTAGCCTATTTGTGGAACAAAGGTTCAAGTCACACTCAATACTCTGACCACTTTTGGATCTGTCTCCACCCACCACTGGCTTGCAGTCCTCAGATGGTTCTCTGAGAGGGAAGGAATCCCCTGGGCCCAAAACAAACCAAAACAACACAAAATCTGCCCTTGCTCCAGAAACTAAAATACAGGGACTGTGTCTTCTTTAAAATTATTATTATTTTGCTTTGGCAGCAAACCTGGGAGAAGAAAGAATCTATCTGTTTCCCATCCATTATCATTCTGTCATTTCATTTAGGGTTAGACAGAGTGGTAAGATGTGATGGGCTCTGCAGAAACTTTTTTTTTTTTTTGAGTGGGGTGTTGTATGTGGCACAATCATTTCCAGTTATGGGTTGTCCATCTTTATCTCCAGATGCATAAGTAACTATTCCATGGCACTTGTTTATATGTAACCATCAGGGAAGGGAACGGGTAGCAAGAGTAAACTCTGCATCTTGTATTCTCTAACAGGAAAGCCACCAGAGCCATTTCACTGTGAAACCAGTTATGTACTGTTTTTCATTTGGAACAAAATGAGGAAACTGTTAAGAAATGAGGGAACTCAGGCCGGGGGCAGAGGGAGTGACTCTGTATTAGAGCATATACTCAGTATCTATAACAGCTGTTCTTCTGTCTCCAAGGTGATGCCCTCAACGTACTGTTGGACTACAACTCCCATCAGCCCCAAGCAGCATGGCCCATGTCCAGGGATAATGGGGGTTGGAGTCCAAAATATCTGGAAGGCACCAGGTTGGGGAAGGATGATCTATAAGGTTTTTGTTTCAACCCTAGCATCTCCAACTGGACATTCGAAAGTGGCAGGTACTGGGGTGGGGGAACCCTACCTTAAGCCCCAGAGAGCTTCTGCCAGTAGTATAGCCAATACTAAACATGATGGAGAAACAAATGGCCAGACTCTGCACACTCAACCCTACCATTAGGTTGAGTGAGGGAGCTGCTTGAGGCAGTACGTAGCTGCTTGAGGGTGAGGATTAGTAGGGAGGTGTTGAAAGATAGAGATGTGTGTCTTGTCTGCCTCTGTGCTGTCTACACAAGGCAGCCATGGAGTGCAATGGAGGCTGCTGTCCTACTGCTAGTAATGAAATAAGATTCAGCTGTCTGCCCAGCTGGCTCTTGTACATGGAACAGGGAGGTGTCATCTCGCCTTTCTCTTCAGGCAACAAAATGTCTCAGGTTGGTCCTGGACTCTGCATAAAGCATATGCATTAGCATAAATTAGTCCCCCCCTTTACCTTACACATAGAAAGTAGAGTAATGTGCAAGCCATATGACCAGCTAATTATCCTAATATACAGCCCAGCACATTTTAATTAACTTTTTTTTTTTTACTAGTAGCTCTGCACTGAGCAAATCGGTTCCATGCTGTTAGTTATTAGGATTTTTCAAAAGGATTTTTTCTCCTGCATCAGAAATAAGAAACAATTACCCTGCTATTCCTGAAAATGATTTTGTAATTACTGAAGATGTTCAAAAGCAAAAGGTAACATTAGGAAATTAAGGCAATTTTTACTTAATAAGCAATTACGGTGGCTAATTTGGCAGAATGTTTGAGAGCTAAGCAGAAACCTCGGCGAGCCACCAAAATAGCAATTTCACCTTATCTTGGAGTAGCAGCAAGCTCAGATCTTCTTAACGTGCTATCAAAGTCGTGAGAGAGAATAAGGAAGGCAAAGGCTGAATAAGACACCATGTGAAAACCCTTCCTTAGTGACTGGTTTCAACAACGCAAAAGCACAGCAATAGGTGCAAATAATTTGTCTCTAAAGCAACTTGAGGCTGCCTCCTCTCCCCCTTTCCTGTTATGAACACAAGAAGCTGCCTTAGCCTGAGTCTGCCCATCAAGCCCATTATTGTGCATTCTCACTGACAGCAGCTCTCCAAAGCTTTAGATCCAGATCTTTCCCAGCTCTGCTATCTCTGAGGGTCTTTAAATAGGGAAGTTTGGCACTGACTCTTCTGCATGCAAAACTACATGCTATACCACGGAGCTGTGACTTCTCAAGACATTGCCCATATGTCACCAACATAGCACCTGCGGCCACACATGCACCTACAGAGGTCTTCCCTGGTGCAAACAGGATCCCATCCTGCAGAGCTGGCTCGCCCAGGAGGTGGGGAGGAAACACCTGCCTCAGGCAGTGGAAGTGCAAGAGGCCGTGCTCTGCCTGCCCCATCACTTCTGCTGCCTAAAGGAAGGCATTCCGGCATGTGCCATTGGCGTTTGTCTTCTCTGTCCCCAGGTGGAGAAGATGAGCAGCTACGTTTTGAGGTGCACCCCGGCTCTTACCAAATTTGGCAAAAGCCAGGGCATTTCCGGGTGACACATTGCTGATTGAGTCCCACTCCCCAGATTGGAGAAGCTAAGCGGCAACATTTTGAGGAAGTGGCCCGGCTGCTGACAAGTTTAGCAAAAGTTGGGGGCGCAGCAGCAGGAAGGGCAAGTTTTGAATATCTTTCCTTCAGAGATTCAAAACTTTGAAAGAGCCCAACAAGACAATGACAATAATCCACCAACAGCATACAAATCAATATGGCTAACCTGATCCAAAACACCCACCCACCCCACTCACACATGAAAACAAAGATCACCACAGCTAATTACAAACAAACAACCACACCCTAGGCCAACCTCAACCTCTCTCACCACCAAAGGAACACAAGTGAACAGCAGAGAACCTGCACAAGCAACGCTGACACCAAACCCTACATATATTAAGAAAAACAGAAACATTGCCATCTGACCCCACCTATCTTTCCCCCTTTTCTTCCTAATGTCTCAACAAATGAAACTGATTTGTAAAAATGTTACATGGAAAAAATACGAGAGAGAGAGACATTGCACATACTTTTAGAAATCAAGAAAATCTTTAATAAAAAACAAAACAAAATCTTGGAAACTACTCTTCATTCTCCATCCCCAAATTAGCCTTAAAAAAAAGTTTTTTTAAAAAAATATCTAGATATTGCCTGCTTTTTCAGGGAAAATGTTCCTCCTTCTTGAAAGGGAAACTTCTGATGCAATAACTGAAAATTCACTTGTGCCTTAAATCAGAGGCCATTTGCCATCAAAACAGGCCAAGGCTTAATATGAGTGCAGTGTAAGACTGATCATCTGTCTCTATTTCCAGTTTGTGCCAGAATCCATACAAATTGCAGAAGATAGTGAAGAGCATATTTTGACAATCCTAAGTACCATCCCTATTACCTGTCTGGGCCAGGATGACATCTGTAAAATTACTTTGCAGCTGACTACCGGGGATTCTGGTAAGAGTCTTATGTCAGTGAGCATTTGATCAAGCACTTTTGCTGACTTTCCCTGAAATCTCTGTAATGAATCTAAGAGCATAGCATAGGTAGGAGAACTGCCATCATTTACTGCTAGAGGGCTTCATAAGACAAACAAAGTGATTGGCTATAAAACCAGAGAGATGGGGGGGGGAGTACTTAAAGCTTGTGGTCAGTGCATTAAACTATTTGGCTTAATGTTTTAGGCTAATTTGACTAATAACGGTATTACTTATAGCCACGTACACAAAGGTGTGTACACACGTGTGTATGTCTGTGTGTGTTTACTGCAATAAACTCACTAGCTAGATCAATCACTTCCTCTCAATCCTAGTTTCTTATTTGTAAGATCTGAATATATTTGTATGGAAGAAAATGATATAATAATGATGGTGATGATAATAATAATATTAATAATAATAATAATTAATTGCACGTTGGCCCTGTTATGTTGCTGGCCACTGGAGTAATTTCTTTGGAAGCCTGGTGATGGCTTAAAAATATCATTGCTTTGAGAAGTTGTGCCACTGTAGCAGATGTCATATCCTGTGTACTCATAACTAACTAGTGCAATAAATATTAGGATCCGGTTGCAATGTTACTTAGATGGTTAAAAAATAATGGGTGGTTCTTCTTATCAGGAACTACTTCTCCTTATCATTGAAAGCTCTTAGGCTGCAATTCTAAACACACTAACAGCTGAACACAGCAGAAAGACGTCAACATCCAAAGGAGTGCACTGTTGTAAATCTGTTCTACAGTTTACTACTGATGCTTCAGAAGAAACATCTGATGCAGGCTGAAATTATAAATGAAGCAACACGCAGTGCACACAATCCAAAAAAGCCCCCAATAAATAGGGAGCTACACACACACACACACAGCGATTTGTGCAACAGGCTCCTGCTTGTGCAAACTTCCCCTTCTCCTCCTCCCGCTGCATCCCTCATGTACTTCTAAAATGGGGGATATACAGAGGGGAGGGAAGAAAGGGGAAGCCCCACTGCCTTTGCTAGTGCAACACTGGATCTTGCACATAACATAACTGACGGCAAGGGTCAAACTACAGTGTCCATCAGCCGCGCCGGGTATATGGGGCAAAAGGGGCCTAAACCCCCTCAATATTTTGAGGCAGGGGGTGCAGGCCCCCTAATATTGAGGGGGCTACCATCCCCCACTGTCCCTGGGTGAGCGCCAGTGTGGCAAGTGGGAGGCCGATTTTCGCCCTCCGTGCTGCCCTCTGCAATCGTCAGAGCATCCCGGTAGACACCCCCACGTCCAAGCAGGTGTGGCCCGACGGGGGGCGGGGCATCACACATGTGATGTCACACACACTCGACAGTCCCACCAACTCGGTGTGCCTGGTGCCCAGAATTCTTTGAGGAAAAGAATGTGCTTCAAATGTATAGATGTGCACATAGTAGATGACTATGAGCTGTGATGATTCTCTATCCTAAGGCTTGCAGTGTAATGGCATATTTTATCCTGCGAACCTCCCTGAGACCTTCAGGTATAGGGTGGTATACAAAACAAACACACACACAAACAAATTAATAAAATGCCTACTTGAGAGTAAGTTCCATCAAATTTAATAGGACTTAGTTCTTAGTAAACACATATATGTAGGGTTGTGATTATTTCAGTGGTGTTGAAGAAGATTGTTTCAGTGATATAAAATACGACACATTTTATATTAGTATGCATTTACAGCTAAACATTTCATGAGTATTGATATATTTGTGTTATTTAACTGATCCTTGATCTAAAGGCCATTTCACATTTTACCTTATCTGACACAGAGATTGTCAGTATTGTGTTTAATGTATGAAGAGTGACACAAATGTCATTTTTTTGCATGAAGTACTGCTGCTGGGAAGCTGATATTAAGAGTCCTTATGCAGAAAGACATTTTCTCAATCCATCACCTATGACAAGGCTCCCCCCCCCCAAAGTGAAGATGACTTGTGCCAGAAAGCAATATGTGAAGAAACCTATAGAATAGGTTTTTAAATACTTTTTAAAAAAATCAGCTCATGTTTGAGGCTGCTGGATGTAAAATATATAACACAGATTTAAATGACATATTTAAAATTGAAAGACCTACATTGGCTCTCAGTACGTTTCCGAGCACAATTCAAAGTGTTGGTGCTGACCTTTGAAGCCCTAAATGGCCTCGGTCCAGTATATCTGAAGGAGCGTCTCCACCCCCATCATTCACTGAGGTCCAGCTCTGAGGGCCTTCTGGCGGTTCCCTCACTGCGAGAAGCTAACTTACAGGGAACCAGGCAGAGGGCTTTCTCAGTAGTGGCACCTGCCCTGTGGAACGCCTTCCCACCCGATGTCAAAGAGAACAACTACTACCAGACTTTTAGAAGACATCTGAAGGCAGCCCTGTTTAGGGAAGCTTTTAATGTTTAACAGACCACTGTTTTTTAATATTTTGTTGGAAGCCACCCAGAGTGGCTGGGGAAACCCAGCCAGATGGGCGGGGTATGTATGTATGTATAAATTATTATTATTATTATTATTATTATTATTATTATTATTATTATTATTATTCATCATCATTATTTCACATCTAGCAAAGCTAAAATATCAGCACTGAAAATCATAGTGAATATTGGTCATTCACAAATGCAGAAAGAGATCTCCAAATTCAAGCAATCTCATGATGAATTCTGTAAAACAGGAGATTTCTATTTTGATTTGTTTTCTGCTGTGATGCATGTTCTGGTGAACTAGCCTTTTATATAGCCTGTTTGTGCTGGTACTTACCAGTAGGGAGTACTGAAACCCTTTTCTTTCTTTCTTTCTTTCTTTTCTGAGGGAGAGAGAGAGAGAGGTGGTATATGAGATTTAAAATAGAGAGAGAGAAGTGTGTATTTTTCTTGCTGTCATTTTTTGCATGTAATGGTTCTGTTTGAGTTCATGTCTGGCTGTTGTAATAGCAACAATTATTCTGATCACAGATGGAAAACCATCCATCTTCCTTTGATTAAAAAGAAAACCTAGCTATTAACTTCTCAACAGAGTTATGAATGCCAATATATTTGCATTTTAGATGATCTGGGAAGGAGGTCCCCAGACATCGCTCTCTCAGCATGCCAGGTGGCTCTGGAACACATGCCCTGCGACGAAGGTAGCTGTGCAAGAGCTTCGGTAACTGTAAGGGCTGTGAATGACTTTGCCGAGGATGGAAACCTCACCAGCTATATCAGAGTGGAGCCTGTCCAAACGAGCGAGCCGCTTTGGCGGGATTATACACCAATGGATGTCAAAGTAGGTTTAAACAAACAATGAGTTTGATAGGAGCATTCTAACCAAGGCATTGCTGTCCTATTTATTTTTGTATTTGTAATTCACTTTTCTGTCCCAGAGAAAATCCCCCCATCCACTTTATGTGTACCCTTGTATCATGTTCTCCCCTCCAACCACCCCAAGTAATTTCACATTTGATAATCTGAATATGGCCAGAGAACTGCAGCTAATCATGTCTCTCTAGCGAGCGTAACTTTTTAATATTTTTTATTTTCAAATACAGTACATGTTTGTCCCATTGTGTCCCATTTGGAGCTATAAAGTTAAAAACAACAACACTACACCTAAAAATGTGTGTGAAGCAATCTTAAGTGTGCTTGAGTGCAGACGAAGGCAATGATCCTAAACACATGTATTTGAAAGTAAGTCTCATTGTCTGATAGGATTTACATATGACTAAATGCTTATGATCAGCAAGAAAGCTAAGATTGCACAACCATAATTGAAAGGAATCAATGGAATTTCTGGGGTAAATCCTAATAAGTGTCTTGAGATTCTGTGTCAATGTTTAACTCTCTGTGGTATCACTTTGTAGACATTGACACTGAATCTCAAATTATTTGTTCTAATAAAAATATTTGTTTCATCTGCTAACAAGGTTCTGATATATAGTTGATCTGATTATATTAAAAGCTTACAACAATGAAGCCAAGATCAGGCTCTAGTTAAAAATCTTCACTAAGTGATTTAATTCAAACTACATACTATAACATGTAAAGGTCAAAAGAGCCAAGAACTGCTTGCTTCTAAATATGATAATGAACTACTGTTGGAATATACCCTATGTAATACTTCTGGTTTTGAAACTGGTTTTATTTAAAGAAGTGCCTTAATTTCAGTCAGATATCTTGCTTCTTGCATTATGGGGAAAGTTTCACATTGCCACACTAACAAAGCAACTCATTATATAAGGAGGTTTTGCTTGACAAATTTGATGTTTATGAATTCTGATATGAACAGACCAGATCTTGGATTGATGTGCAGATCTGATCAGAATTTGGGTACTATGGCACCCTGTGCAAAGCCAAATTTTAGCAACTCCCCTCCCCTGGAGGTGCCCAGCTTTGGGAAGGAAGCAGAAGGGATTTGAGAGGATCCTGGAGCCCTTCCACCTCCTTCCTAAAGCTGAGAAAGTGCTAACTAGGCTTTGAGAAGGAGGCAGGAGGATTCCAGGACTCTGTCAGAGCCTCACTCCTCCTTCCCAAAGCCCAGGTCCTTGCTTACTAGGTTTTGAGACAGTGATACCTCGGCTCAGTGCCCAGTGCTTGCGCATTGTTCAAACGGCACTAAATCTGCTCCTGAAACAAGCTTGCTCCAATGTTGATGTGACTTCCCTTCAGATATTTGTAGATTGCCATCATATCAACTTTCAGTATTCTCTTCTCCAGGCTAAATATACCCAACTCCCTCAACCATTTCTCATAATGCTTGGTTTCCAGACCCTTTACCATCTTGGTCATCTTCCTCTGCACATGTCTCATCTTGTCAATGTCCTTCTTAAACTCTGGTGTCCAGAACTGGACACAGTATTCCAGGTTGGGTCTGACCAAGGCTGGATAAGGTAGCACTATTCCTTCCCTTCTGGACATTATACATCTGTTGATGCAACTTAGAATGGCATTAGCTTCCCACCCACTTGGTGAATCACGCTGTTGCCTCATGCTGAGTTTATGGTCTACTATGACCCCTAGATCCTTTTCACATGTACAGTTGCCAGTGTCACCCATCCTATATTTGTGCATCTGATTATTCCTGCGTAAGTGTAGAACCTTATGTCTGTCCCTGTTGAAATTCATTTTGCTACTTTTGGCTCTGCAATCTGTTAAGAGCATCTTCAGTACTAATCCTGTCTTCTGAGGTATCAGCTACACCTTCCAGTTTTATATCATCTGAAAATTTGTCTTTCACCAGGGTTGTAGCTGACAGCAGTCACACCCAGAACAGACCTACTGAAATGAATGAACATGATTATGTTAAATCCATTAATTTCTGAGTATTTAATTAGATGCAACCATCATACTTACATGTGAATTTTCTTGTGGCTTTTAAGAACTCTCAGATTAACACAGAAACTAATGACTTATTAGTAAGCACGTGCAAAAATGACATGGATCAGAAATAATTGATTCATTGATCGCTGCTTTGCTTTTCAGGATTCTAGATTTCACACACTTCCAGTTAAAAACTTTTTTATTGCAAACTTTTTTTGGGTGGGCAGGGAGAGACTTGTTTTTTTGCTGATGTTTACCTAGAAGAAATAAATTATATAGCCTTTATATACTTGCTGGGTGCATATAAAATAAGTAATGATAATAAGTAAAACACAGGAAATACTGATCCTGTAACACACTTTAAAAGTCACATTTTGTTTCATTCACCCATAAAAGTCAAATGCAGCCCATAATGTTTTATGAGTAAAAAAATAAAATAAAAAATGGAGCTCTGCCTCAGAGACTGTATGCATTACACATCTCATTTTAACTAGGTCACAGTTCAAGACCTCCCCACAGAGAACTGCTACTCTTTGACTGATCCACACATCATCACATTTGATGGATGGTGAGTATTCTTTCATGAAGCTATTTGGCTTCACAATAATGATATGCTTTAGTATTCTGTTCAGCTATCTAGGATGCTATTTTATGAGTTTACAGTAAATGCTGTAGTGCAGAATCCAAGGGACGTTAAACACACACATGAAAAAAAATGCCTTCCAAGTTTCTAGCATTTGCTGTCACACCCAGAAAGACTTGTGAGACCAGAAAATAGGATGATAGTTATAGCTTTTAAAATATAACAACAAACCAATTAACCAGATTAACTAAATTCCAATAGCTTCTGCAAATGAGGATTTAATTAAGGCTGTGTGTACGCTATACCTTTAAATCACATTTGAAGTATATTTTCCTCCTCAAAGAGCTATAGGTGGTGCAATTTCTTAAGAGGTGCTGGGAATTCCAACTCTGTGCGGGGTTAACTACAGTGCCTAGAATACTTTAAAAGGTATTGTGTGTGCACTCCTGGACATATAAACTGGTTTTGTGTGCCCCCTCCACAAGAGGTCTGAAGGGTGGGAACATGAGAATTGGCCTATTCTGTGGTGGTTTCCTGTTTGTGGATGCTCTCCCCTGGGAGACTTGCCTGGCACCTTCAATACATATATTTAGGTGTCAGGCAAAAACTTTCCTCTATAACCAGGTATTTGGCCTTTAACTATCTGTGGCCTTTTGGAAGTAGGTAAGGTAAAGGTAAAGGGACCCCTGACCGTTAAGTCCAGTCGCGGACGACACTGGGGTTGCGGCATTCATCTCGCTTTATTGGCCGAGGGAGCCGGCGTACAGCTTCCGGGTCATGTGGCCAGCATGACTAAGCCGCTTCTGGCAAACCAGAATAGCGCATGGAAACGCCATTTGCCTTCCCATCAGAGTGGTACCTATTTATCTACTTGCACCTCTTGAGTCATCTTTTAAGAAGGGAAGAGGGTGGCAAATGCGCCTCCATTGAAGTGTGGGAATGGCATTATAGAAGCAGGACATTTTTCTTGAATATATTCAAAGCAAAGGGATAACATTTTATGAGAATTAAGCCTAATGTAAGTATGAACGATGGCTAGAATTTTATTCAATACATTTTGCTTGGTTCATAGCAAGTTTTGACAGATGATCACGTTGACCCTTTTGTCTCATCCCATCCCACAAGATGGCTGTTCATAGGATTATGCCATAACACTGAAATCTAGGAAACTGTGATTCTTAGCATATTTGCTCCAAAGTGTTCCATTAATTTCAATGAAATTTCCAAGTGATTGTTATTAGGTTAGACTGTCACAGGAATAAGAGCCTTCTGTGTCAGTTGCTTTTGAAAAGCATCTTGTTCAGCCATATGGAAAAAGCCAATCTTCTGTGAGCATTTTGCATGGAATCAACACTCATGTAACCACCTCAGCTTATGTCATCCATAGCTAAATGCAGAGTGTGCTGCAGCCACCATGTTGGCATGCGTTCCAGAGCAAGAACATCATCAGCTTCTCAGTGAACCCTAGTAGACTTGAGCTCATGCAACAGTGAAGAGTAAAACTGACAAAACAGACGTGGCATTTGCCAGCTGAGAATCCAGTTAAGAATAAAACTTACGTTTACAGCCAAGATGTTCTAAAGGGGGAAAAATATGGCTTAATTTTAATGCGATTCTGGCAGAGCCCTAATTTTTCATTTGAAATGTTCACCTAGTCATAGTCAACCTTGTCAAAGTGGGTGATTAGTCACAGAAGATATTATTTGAGTGCTGGTTTTGCTTTGAAGAACATCATGCTATAAAGCATCCAGTTACAACTAAAACATATTTATTAAGGCCCGGAGGCAGAGATATTTTCCTATTTACTTTTATCAAATGTTTATCCTCCTTATCCATGCCTGTTGCCATGGCAGCGGCTCTCAGGCAGCTATGAGCTCCTCACATGAATTCTTATGCACTCCCAGCTAATAACTCTGGTGGTATTAGTTTGCTTATGTTGATGAAAAAGTGTTTCTTCACCAAGAGTTTATTTTCTTTTCCCTCTGAGGCCAGCCACCAAACTGGTCTAATTAGGGAGCCTTGTTGGCTAGAGTAAAAATGAGCAGCTAACAAACTGTGAGTAAATCCTTCCTTTATGTTGTTCTCTTGATTGCTTAGGCGTTATGACAGCTACATGACTGGAACTTTTGTGCTGTACAGAAGTCTGAACCGAATGTTTGAGGTGCATGTGCGTCAGTGGCATTGCAGCAACCGCCATCTTGCCTTTGCTTGTAACTGTGGTGTTGCCGCATGGGAAGATAATGATATCGTCATCTTAGATATGTGCAATGGGCAGTTTCTGGAAACCAAACCTCAACTGGCAATTAAAAGCATCAAAGCCTCGTCACAACCAAATGTCAGAATCATGGAGTCCTATGGAGGGAGAAAAATTACCGTACGTATCTCAAATTTATTTGGGTTTTGGTTTTGATAATTACCAACGAGAGAGATTACTTTTGTAACAAAGCAGTGTGAAAGATCGAGTATCCCTTGCTAAGTTGAATGGCCAACCACTGGTGTGTATTAGGCTGTCCTAGCTGAGGTAAATTCCACTCAATGTAAGGCTAAGAAGTGTCTTCCAATGGACAGAATACTGCCCATAAAACATCATAGCAGGAGTTCAAGCCCTGACTTAGCCACAAGCTTAATGGTGGCACTGAGCAAGTCACATTCTGTCTCATTACAAGAGGCTTGCCTTTTTTTACAGAGCGGTCACTATGGTCTTTGATAAAGCAAAGGATTTCCCTGACTTGGCTGATTTACTGATTACAGTAGGGTTTGTGTCCAGCCAAGCTAATGGAAAGAGTGACTAGATCCAAGTGAAGGGATTGGTGCCTGACCAATTATAGGTGAGCACAAGTAAGTTTTAAATCCATGTCAGACTAGGAAGAATCATCAATCCACGGCATTGCTGATGTGGAAGCCAACATCCTGCAATTCCCCCCACATTCATTCATTCGTTCATTCATTCATTATACGACTATTTATACAGCACTAATTCAAAAGAAAAAATATATATAGTGGTGATGTACAACCAAAACCAAGTAAAACCTTTAATATATTATAGAATCATAAAATACAGAACCAAATGACCAAAAGTAAATAGGATTAATTATCTAAGAACACTTAACAAAACAAAAAACTCTCACTGGGGACTGCTACCTGGTTCATAAATAACGCAGGTCACATAACACTGATCCTGAACACTGATCAAGGTGCTAGTGTTGACCTACAAAGCCCTAAATAGGTTGGGCTATGGGTATATAAAGGAACACTCTCTCTATATCAGCTTGCCTATGCTGATGGGGGCAGGGCTTGTCTCAACATCACAACAACAGTGATACAAGAGAGATAATTTTTAAGCCTAGGTTTCAGATGGGTTCCTTGCCAGTGCACATACAGAAATGGCTTAATTTCAGAAGGAGGAGGGTGCCACAAGACAACACTATCATAGGCATTGCCTCACAGTCTAAATGGCGTATCATTGACATACTAATGCACTGAAGAAACTTTGGCTCCTAAGATGAAGAGGGCACTACCTTGAATTCCGGAAGAAAGGCAGGCTATAAAATGAAACACAAACCTAGAGAAACATGTGATAATATGGCTGTGTACACACCATACATTTAAAGCACATTATTTCCCTGGAAAAAATTATGTGTATCGCAGTTTGCCATGGGTGCTTCGAATTGTCGCTCTGCAGTTCCTGGGATTCTTTGGGGTAATAATGTGCTTTAAATGTGTGGTGTGTGTGCATCTTACAACTGTGAGGAATTTCCATCAGGCTGAAGTCCTCACATGATCAAAACTAACCCAATGTTTTCAGAATAAAAAGCTGGCCCATTTCCCACCTTGAAGGAACAACCTAAGCCATTTCTATAATGAGACAACTGTTCTGTTCAATTTAAAATACAATCATTTCCTGTGTGAATTGGTCTTACAAGGAATATTCTAAAAGTATTGGCTATATATATATATATGAGACCATTTCCCAAGGAAAATCACAGAGGTGATCTTATTGTCATGTTGGCAGTTTCGGTTTAAGAACAGCCCTGTTTAAGAACTATTCGGTTTACGAACTCCGCAAAACCAGAAGGAGTATCCTGGTTTGCAAACTTTACCTCAGTCTAAGAACAGAATCCGAACGGTGGAAGGGCACTGGTGGCAGGAGGCCTCATTAGGGAAAGTGCACCTCAGTTTAAGAACGGTTTTGGTTTAAGAACGGACTTCCAGAACGGATTAAGTTCATAAACTGGGGTACCACTGTACTTCTCCCTCTATCAGCATCAAGAAAAACAGATCCTAATTGTAAATACAATTTTGATCATGTTCAGTATAAATAAGAGAGCAAGCATATGAAGGTCTACTCAGACGTAAGTACCCTGAGTTCAGTGGAGCTTACTTCCATGTAAGTGTGCACAGGATTGTAACCTGAAAGTGGCATGCAGGTTACCTGGGAGTAAGACTTCTTGAACTCAATGGAGCTTTCTTCTGAGATATATTGCACTGTGGATTACTGATGCCAATAGCAGGTCTCAACTTATTTTTTATTGTGCGTATGACATGTTATTGTGTGTGCATGTCTCTGCTTTGATGCTTAATTTATGGGATGGTGGGGGGCAGAGGGAGCCTGCCCCCAGCTTTTTATATGGATCCTCTTAGCTGCTGCTTAAAGGTTACATCGGGAAAGATTTGGCCAAAAATGTGGGAGGGGGACTCAGTTTGCATGGCTTGTAGCTTTCATTAAGGCTTCTCTACTGTTCTCCCAAAATTCAAGCACTGGCTGGTGCGCACGCATGCACGCACACATGCACACACACGCGCACACGCACACACACACACACACACACACACACACAATTGCTGATGGAGTTCATATTCACCAGATTTGCTCCTTCTCCAGATCTCATTCCCTTCAGGAGCATTTGTTCGAGCTGATGTGAGCGACTGGGGAATGAGTTTGACAGTAAGGGCACCAAGCATTGATTTTAATAGCACCAGAGGTTTATGTGGCATCTTTGACAGAAACAGTCAGAATGACTTCCATGGGCCTGATGGGAGCCCTTTACTTTCTCGCCAGAATAACACGTCTGAGGAGGACTTCATAAAAGCTTGGAGGTAAGGAAAGGAGATTTTCAATGGTAAGGGATGTGCCGAAAAATGAATCGCCATTATAAGAGCGTTCTATACAAGCTGTTCAAAAAGTGTTCGTTTAATGAACCGGCACAGAGCTGCAGTGACAAAAGAAAATGCACTGGTCTTCAAGACCCCTCAAATAATACACATTTTCAGCTACTGTTAGAGAGACGTTTCATATTCACAAATGACGTCACATTGCCAACTGCCCTGAGATCCTTCTGAGCTGTTACAAAGGACAGTTCCCAGCCATCCAGGAAAATGTAAAATAGGGACAGAAGGCAGAAATCGAAGGCTTTGATATTTCCTCTGTTCTTTAATTTCTGAACGCTGATGCCAAGTACATGGCTGTGGAATTCAAAGACAGATTTTGACAAGATGTGGCAAAGTGCGTTGAATAAAATGTTAATATTTAAGAAGCCTATTCTGTTAAATAAATAGGATGTATAAAAACCATCTGATATGGCTGTTCAAATGCCAGCTGGAGGACTGCGTATAGGCACCTTCCATTTCAGAGAACTTCCAAAAGTGGAATCCAAACACCTCCATTCTTCTTCTAAAGCAAGTGTGGGGCATTTTTAACCCTCCTGATGTCACTGAACTATAATTCCAAGCAGCCCCAGCATGTATGGCCTGGGAGTTGTAGTTCAGCAGCAACTAGAGGGCCAGAGGTTTCCCACACATCTTCTGAAGCATCTTTAGCTGTGACCAAGCACTTGGGAAGTACTAAAGCTCCACAGTCCAATATAATGCAGGAAGAATGTGACTATTAAGGTGAACACATGCAGCAACTTGCAGAAGCAATTCTGGCTTCTGCAGTCAGGAGTTTTAATGGAGCAGCATTGTTTCTTTCTGCTCTCCTCCGAAATGCTGCAAAATTCAGCACCCCTACAGAATCATCTCTATGGTGGAATAGTGGACCTCTGCCCCTTACTGCCACTATGTGCCTTTCACAATGTGTGACCTACGGGTTTCACAGTTATATGACAAGGCTCAGAACACAAATCATTACCTGCCCTCCTTTTTCTGAGTGCAGCAAGTAATGACTTGCTCTCATCACGTTTTCGGACCTCTGTGCAAAGCCTTCACATCACACATTGTGGGAGGTGTGTGGTGGACAAGAGCAGCACACACTCAGTCATTTATGCTTTGATCCAAAGTCTTCATGAACCAACCTGTACCTCTCCTTCAATATCAACACTCCCTCATTAGGACTGATTTGTACAACATGGATTTGCAGCACATGCCAGGCCATTCTAGGTTCAACTTTCCTTAAGGCACTTTCTACAACCTGAACCTATTATGGAGGAGTTCACGGCATCAGCACCCAAAAAGGGTCTTGTTTTCCCCATAGCTGCAACTTTGGATAAAAATCAAAATTGCTCTCAAATGTTTCTCTAGTTCTCTCTTCAGCTTGCTGCTTTCCTTCCAGATCACGTTACTGCTCCAAAACTGTCTACTATAAGCTCTGGCTTTATCTATTGAAGGAGGGGCCCCCAACCTATTCGCTGTCTCACACTGAGCCCTTTAATTCCCCTTAATGGCTCATCACCCAGGCTTTCACCTTCATGGCTTGGATATTCTAGGAATTAGAAGCCTTGATTAAATTATAACACTTGCTGGATTAAAAAGGTCTGGAACACAGCTTCAGACCCCAAAGTCATATCTATTAGCCCAGGACACACTGTTTGTGGATGTTGTTAATTCAGGGATTTATGTTGTATTCAATATAGGTTTTACATCAGAACTACAGATGTGGGAAATGAAACAGATGATTTAGGTGTCATTTGTGAAAATCACTGAGAAAACACAGCAATGTTGTTCATATAAATAATGAAGCTCTCCAGATTTTCAAAACTGCTAGCATGTTTACGAAATCAGGTAGAAGTAATGGAGATGGAAGCTAGTAAAGCATTTTCAATTGGCTGCCTTCAAGCACTTGGAACCTCCAATCACCAGGGACCAGTTGGAGAGTTCGCCTACTGGTAGTTCTGTTCTCTTATTTCCACAGCCATTGTCCGTTGCAGCTGTAAAACTGAGGGTGTCCCATAGCTGTTTGAAGCACTACATACTTCCTGCAAAAATAAAAGAGTTTAGAGTTGCAATCGTATCAACACTTAACTAGGAGTAAGACCCATCAAACTCACTCTGTTAGCACTGTTAAAAGTTCTAAACTCCTTTTTAACCTGCAACTCAGGATATTAATGATTCTAAGGAAGTTGACCGTAGTCCATGAAAACCTATAAATGTACGTGTGCTCTAATAAATGAGTCTTTAAGGTGCCACAAGACTTGCTTTTTCCTTATCATAGTTATTTTTGCTTTTAAGCAGGTATACATACTTAAATCCCGAAAGTCAGATTGGAGTGATACAGCCACATTATTGCATTTCACTCCAAGTAAAAATGTTATTATTAATAATATTTTTCCTGCTCACTTTCTTCTGAAGGTTAGCAAAATAATAATAAGTTCCAGTTGAATTCTAAGATTGTTGCTACAACCCTGCTGATAACAGTTTGTTATCTTCATCTCACCAATGCATGTTCATACTTTAAGATCCAAGCAGAGGAATTCATGCTTTTTCCTGTTAGCCACTGGAGTAAATAAGTGTTCAAGGGCATTATTTTGAATACTTCTATTACCTTATACAGCTAGGGGCCATATACATGTTGAAGGAAGCTTCTTTGCATTTATCCCTAGCCGGGTGAAAAAACTACATGTGCTACATGCACAATTCCACAGCCCAATCCAGCAATGGAGGTTGTAGGCACATGCCCCCTTTTAAAAAGCCGCTATTCCACTGACCATTTGTTTAGTATGGTGTCTTGGGATTGAATCCAGTCATACAGCCCCTCCCCCTCTCTTTTTGCTTCAGCTGCAAGTGGAGGGGAGACCACTTTCCTTCTCTGATTGATGTTATTTCACCTTCTTTAAAAAGTGCTTTGCATGTGGACTCAAACTCCAATTATTTCCTTGTAGCTTTTTAATCCAAAGGATAAATGCTGATGACCTTTGCCAAGTAATCACTTATGATGTAACCATTATGTAAAGCAGTAATCTCATCTACAATGTCCTATTAAGTGCTAAGGAGAATTGTAACTCTCTCCTTGTTTCTGACCAGGTATGCACTATGTACACACTTCAGCCTATGAAATGCTGGGCTTTGGAGTTTTCCAAAAGCACTTTGTAGACATCTCTTTGCAAGTGTCCATATCTGCACATTAAGCAGACAGTGTGAGCAGTTTTTAAAGCACAGTGGTTTGTTGGTGTTGTTGTTTTGCTCCTTCCTCTTTCAGCACCCCAACCCCTTTTAAAAAATAATTTTGCCTGTAAGTTTATTGATATACTAGAGATAACAGAGAAGGCAGACAATGTACTTTATGGCTGTGTGTATACATATCCACTGATAGATGGATGGATGGTACATTTCTCCTCAGCTTTTGGCAGGATGCTAAGTACACATGTGATCTCTGGTTATCACTCTAGGGAAGCTTATGCATTATGCCATACACATGTACAGATGTTTGTGTGAATGACTGTTCCTGTGGTGAATTAAATGGATTGAAGTCCTAAAAATGTGGAATATTGATTGGGTGTACTGATGCACATGTGTGGAGTATATGATCATGTGCGATGTTCAATTGTATCCACCCATTCAGGAAGGAAATATGTGGGAAAATAAGGGTTCATTTTCTTAAACTAGAGATCATTGGTTATACTGCAGAATATTGGGGCTCTGTGTTTTTCATATTATAGCTGTCATGGGGGAGACAACTTGAAATATTTTCAGATTAAAATGCAACTCCTTCTTGCTCTCTAGGCAAGATAAGCTATGTCCAAAAACCGGGGGCGGGAGGGGGAGAGATGTACAATGTGAAGAGGAGGGAGAATTTTTAGGTAGCACAGAGGCTGGGTTAGCAGGCATTTCTGCATCAATGAGATGTTTTGTCAGTTCAAACATTTCTACTGAGAGAGACTACTTAAAATGCAAGCCATTTGAGAAATGTACATGCAGCTGGAGTTTTCTTTGAAGTTTTAACACAGCCATTTCAGCATTGCTGAAGAAACAAGCAGCTACAGTGGAAAGTTCAATGAAATGAATTTTCATTGGCTCCTCAGTGTTACCTGGATGCTGGGTTGCATTTGGCTTAGCATGTTACAGGCTGCACAAACCTGCCACAGGTTATTACTATTTAATTAAAAAATGTGGAATTTTGTACTCATATTGTTTGCATTTCAGTGTATTTTCTGTATTTTACAAGATAAATATGGAGGATGCTAGGGGCTGAGACCCTCTTTGCTGCATTCACCACTCCCTGCTATTCCCCCCAAGTTAACCTCATAGAGTTTCCCTTTCCCATCCCATGCAACTACTAAACTCACTTTTCACCTTCCCAACTCCATTTCAGAAGCCACTTCTCTCTCTTTTTCTGCTGCCCTGCTTTGCACACATTTTCACCTTCACCCCATGCCTTCTCCTTCTCCTTTTGCACACACCTCTTGCACACAGACCCCCCCCCCAGTAACCACTTGCATCTTCCTCCTTCCACACATTGCAACTGCTAAACACCCTTTTCATCGGCCACCGATTGTGAGGCCACCATTCCCTCTCTTCTTACTCTACTCAAACTTCTCCTTCAGTTCTTCAGCTGCCACATGTGTGAGAGACAAAGGATGTGGAGCCCCCAAATACTCCAGAGTAATTTACTTAAATCTCTACCATGGTTTGAAACTGCCATTTTCCTCTTAGTTCCCTCCAGCTCTGCTTTACTCAATAGTCTGCTATTTTAAGCTACCACTTCTTCCCTCTCAGTGTCTCTTGCCTTTTCTCCCGTGCAACAGACATGGGTGCTGTGCAGCCTGCCTTCACTTTTGGTTCCCTATCCCACCCTGATATCATGCCAATCCAGAATTGTGACTTGGCACTACAAATCCTCTAACGGGGCTGTGTGATGATATACTTACATTTTTATTATAGAGATAAGTAACTATGAAAGTTTGATCAGTGAGAGAACACCAAGCCTTTTTAACTTTCTGACCTGCTTCTCTTTTATTTTATCAGAATAGCTCCAGGGATGAGTTTGTTTGACAAGACTCCACCACTGTCAGAATGGAAGAAGAGGACACATTACTGTCTGTGTCAGAAGGAGCATTCACTATATTTACAGTCAGTAAATGCTCTACACACTTTTCAGCATTCTCCCCCGGAATCTTTAGGTTGTTTTTATGAGCGTGTGGATTACAATTCTGTAATCCCATATCTAGATGTCACATCAGAACATCCTACTAACTTGGACGCTGATTCTGCATTCCTAGCTGATGGAATATTATCACCTAGATCTCTTGAGCAGTGGCATTTGCCTCAGGCAACCAAAAGGAAAGACAGCCCCAATGGCCTTTTAAACTCAATTGGTCAAAACATCTCATTGAAAAAATCAGGAAATGAAACATATTTTGAGTCTTCCGATCATTGGAAGGAGCTATCAAGAGAAAAAAGGCAAGAAGCTTACTGGGAATCCTTATCTGCTTCCTCTTCTCAAAGCTTGAGTCAGGCTGACTTGGAAAGTTTCACCTACTTTTTCCCAGAAGATTATTTTGAAGGGAGGCGGCCTAAAGTTCAGGTCACATGGCCTACTCCAAGTGGCCTAACCTCAGCAAAAGCCTTAGCAAGCTGTCAGAAGGTTCTTGAAACCTCTCCCATTGGCTTAGCTTGTAAAGGGCTTCTGGGCACCCAGCTGGATGCGGCTATTGAAATGTGCCTTTTGGATGTACAAAGCAAGGATGACCTCACATGGGGAGAATCAATGATTGCATTTCTGGAAAATTCCTGTGAAAAAAGGGTGCTGGAAAACATAACTATGTGGTTTGATTCAACAAGCGAGCTACCTGCTACACATAAAGAAATAATCAGAGCTCTCAGGTGCCCCAATCTCTGTAATGGACATGGGCAGTGCAGTATGTGGGGATGCCAGTGCTTTGAAGGATACGATTCCCATGACTGTACAACCGCCAAAAGTGAGTAAGAAAAGAATTATGTTTGTTCGTAACCTGTGTATCTTCCTGTAGCATTTGACTTAATGGAACATCTGCAGAGAGCAATTTGCTCTTCAAACAGCTTCACTAGTTAAGACCTATGATGAATTAATAATCAGGTTCTGACCTTGACAAGCTGATCACAATACCTGGCTGGCTGCTCTGGAGGCGTGTGGGTTTGTGCACCCAAGTTTACCTTGGTAAACTTGCAAAAATGGATTTGACAATTCCCTTAAACAAACTGGTTTGAGAGAAGTGATTTTTTTCTTATCATCCCCATGCTACAAAAACAAACTCCTAAAAGAAGGGAGAGAGAGTCCCCAACACAGATGTTATACTAATTTCAGAAGGCTCAGTTGCAGGAGTGGGGGTGGGGGTGCCTTGGGGCTTTATTCTCCCCACAACTTTTTAACATCTATATCACAATATTGGGGGTGACTATCTGGAGGTGTGGACTGTGATGTCATCAGTACACAGATAACACTCTGTTCTACCTTTCTTCCCCATCTACTCATTCCATGGAGGCTATTGAATGAACTGATGTCTGGAGGCAAATTTGAGCTGGATCAGGACAAACAAGTTGCAGTGGCAGCCAGACAAGATAAGGATGTTGAGGGTAGGGAAACCACCTATTCTAGAAGGAGGTTTGCAACTGATCCATAACCAGTTGGACTCCTCCTTTTTACAAGCTCAAGCTATTTATTTTCTAACCAGCTCGGAGTTGTCAATTGCAACTTTACCTGCAGAGGATGGATCTCACCTCAGTTATCCATGCACTAGTGACATCCAGGCTGGATTAATCTAATGCACTCTATGTGGGGCTACCTTTAAAGGTGGTTAGAAACATCAACTGGTGCAAAATGTCAGGTGCCAGGCAGTTGGAACATGTGACACCTACAGTCACTACACACCAGGGGTGCCAAGTTGAATAAAATATTGAGGGGGCAGGTAAGCCCTGCCCCACATAATCAATCACAAGACGCAGCATGCACACACTATTTGAATGGCAATGCCCATCAACTTTGGTAGGGGACGACCCCCTCAAATATTTTATTGGGCAAGACCAAAAGGACCTCAGCTCCTAGGAGTTGGCTCCTATGCTACACACACACACACACACACACACACACACACACACCCACACCCTTATAAATTTGGCTTCAAATGAAATTAACTTGTATGACAACCAATTCTGATCAATTTTTAAAAATGTTTACATTATCCCACAGATAAAAAGCAGTATTCTTTTCTTTTTAAAAATAGTTCAGTTTTGTAGGGAACTTTGATTCTCATCCCTCCTCCTCCTCCTCCTCCTTCTTCTTCTTCTTCTTCTTCTTCTTCTTCTTCTTCTTCTTCTTCTTCTTCTTCTTCTAATTGTTTCCTGATATTTTAACTTTCTGACATTATATTATAAAATGACCAACTAACCCTTCAATCTTAAACACACATTTTTAGGAGAAAATCCCACTGATACCAATATAACTTGCTTCCACATTGCTATTTGTGGTTGTAGCCTGTCCACTTACATGAGATGGAGACTAGTAGCTGAGAATCAGACTGCAAAATCAGAGGAGACTGCCAAAGGGAGTCGCTCTCTCTTCCCCCGCCCCCCATTTCATTTATAAAGTGATGGCAAAATCTCCAACAAACAATGTCAAGGTAATGCACAGCAGCCATTCCAAAAGGTGAGGCTGATGGACCTGGGAAACCTTTAACATTTGCTTTTTCAGTTTTCCATAATACACCTGAGATTGCGTGTTGTTTTCTCATAAAAGGAAGCTTCATCTTAAAGATCACTCACCCAATTCACACACAGTCCTCCAGATACATATTAACCACTTGGGTGCTACAACAGAGATAAGGAAATAATAAACAGTTGCACTTGTTAGAGTGATAGCCTGAACTTATGACAAATAATATTATTGTGCTCTCTTTTAAGCTGTGGTAGATGTATCATGGGAAGATGTGTTGCTGCCAGTATAGCCATCTGAGGGTTATCTAGGCCCAGGTAAACTTTAAGTGGCAGATAATAACGGAGAAATACACATGCATACATATAAACAGATGGGATGCAGGTGGCGCTGAGGGTTAAACCACAGAGCCTAGGACTTGCTGATCAGAAGGTCGGCGGTTTGAATCCCCATGACGGGGTGAGCTCCCGTTGCTCGGTCCCTGCTCCTGCCAACCTAGCAGTCTGAAAGCACGTCAAAGTGCAAGTAGATAAATAGGTACCGCTCCGGTGGGAAGGTAAATGGCGTTTCCATGCGCTGCTCTGGTTCGCCACAAGCGGCTTAGTCATGCTGTCCACATGACCCAGAAGCTATACGCCGGCTCCCTCGGCCAATAAAGCAAGATGAGCACCACAACCCCAGAGTCAGCCACGACTGGACCTAATGGTCAGGGATCCCTTTACCTTTTTACATATAAACAGAGCTTGTTTTCAGCACCTGTCAGATGGGTGCTATTGTCAATATAAGAGAACAAGAGAGGTGTCCATGGTGAGGTGTCCAGCACCTTTTTCTAGAAAACCAGCACTGCATATAAACATATACTATGGGAGATGTTCAAGTGTTACTCAGAGTAAGCTCACTGAAGTTAATGGATTTTAATCATGCGCATTACTTTCAATGTCTCTACTCTGAGTAAAAGTTAACTGAACACCACCCTTTCTCACATCCACTCTTAAATCACTTACGCTACATACATACTTCCAAATCAAAGTGCAGGATCAGGGGATTGGAGATACAGAATTAAAAATTGCTACTTTATGAGTCCCTTTGTCCACCTTCCTTCTCTGAAGGACTGGCCTGTGTAGCAGGCTACTTGTCCAGAGTGAGCTAAGGCCACCAGGGTATTCTGCCCAGACTAGACTTTCCTTGTCACCTTTGCAGCTAAATGGCCTGGAACCCAAGCACCTAAAAGTGCACCTTCCCCAATATCAATAATTTCTGACCCTATGGTCTGCGGCCTCAGTAATGGTGCTGCTTCTTAGTGAGCATGTCCCATTTGTGGAATGCCCTCCTTGGTCAGGTCTATCTGTCTCCCTCATTCTTGACCTTCAGGTTGAATTTAAAAACATTGCTCCTGGCACCCCTGAGATAATTGTTGGGTAAAATGCATTTTATAACCGTTTTATTGCTGATTTTATTGTACCAGTTGCTGGAAACTGCAGGATGAGAGAGCAAACTGGGACCATCTCTTCCAAACAGAATAGCACCAACAAATTTGTTATGTTTAAACCTACATTTTTAAAAACAACAACAGCTCAGGTCTCTTTGAATGGAGCCTCTTAGCATTATCTCTGTGTTTGTTCACAGACAAAACTCCCCTCCCCTTAATAACCAGCTTAACCCTCTGAAAAAAAACACACCAAAAAAATACGCTCTTTTATAAAAACATGCAACAAAACAATGTACTAACAGAACGATAGTTTCCTTGACTTGTATGTCAAGTGTGCATAATTATGCCTTCTGTTGAGGAATGTATACCTTGATACTTGTGCTATAGGGAATAAAGTAATCCTCCAGTGAACCTTTCAAGAAACAAAAAGGTGAAGACATTGCAAATAAGGATTGCAGAGACAACGTGAAACATAGCCTTGGTACCTGCATTTGATGAGCACAGGCAAGAAAAGCAAGCTTGAATTGGTATTGAATTATGTTTGCTCTCTGGTATTTTGTAAAAAGCCATTCCATTGAATTGTATAAAATATCAGGTTTCAATGTATTGTCTATAACGTAGTAAAAAAAGAAAGCGTTTCATCAGAACATAAGAAGAGCTCTGCTGGATCAGGCCCGGTGACCTATCTAGTGCAGAATCCTGTTCTCGGAGTGGCCAGCCAGATGCCTATGGGATGCCCGAAAGTATCATCTGAGCTGAGATAGTTTTCTAGTTCCAATGTACCTTCCTGCTTAAAATATAGGGGGGGGAACAGTTTTGTGTATTTCAGTGAATTTCTTCAAGAAAAAGAAATAGGGGTTACATAAGAACTGTCTTCTTAGATGAGACTGGTGGTTTATCTAGATCAGAGTTACCCCTTCGACTGTGGCTGAACAGATGGTCTGGGACATGGATGGAGAACTTACAGCCCTCCAGAGGTTGCTGGACTACAACTTCCATAATTCCAGAGCACTGGTCATGCTGGCAGGATAGATGGGAATTGGACTCTATCAACATCTGGAGGACCAGAGCTTCCTCAGCAATGACCTAGGGAGATCTGTAAACAGGGAGAGGTAGTGATAGACACCCCTGTAGCTTATCCCCAGGGTGTACTTGGAGGAAGTACGTCTGTAAATGTGGAGGCTGTCCTTCTGTCAAAACTCTGAGTACAGTCATACCTTGTGTGGCGTTAGGTTCATGTTGCGTCTTTTCAGCTTGCGAACGCGGCAAACCCGGAAGTGTATACTTCCGGGTTCCGCTGCACGTGCAGAAGCGCTCTATCGCGCTCCGCACTTGCACAGAAGCACCGCTCTAGTTGTGGACTTTTCAGGGTGCGAATGGCACCCTGGAACGGATCGTGTCTGCAACTAGAGGTACCACTGTAACTTGTAGACAGATCTAATACTATATTATCATATTTTCTTTTCTGTTTATTTTTATACTGCTCCTTTTAAAAGCTATTGATGCTAGCTTCCATCACAAGATCTTTTGGTGGTGAATTCAGTCAGGGTTCAGGGCAAGATGCACAAATGGGGACTGATGGTTATTCTATAATTACACATTTCTGAAAAAGTTACGAAAACACTCAGAGATATTTGCCGGTACCTACGACCAAAAGAAAACCTGGAATATTATAATGCATGGTCCCCAGAGTGCAGCAAGATGCACATTTGTTAGGCAAAGCGACATGTCTTTACCTAGGCAAAGTCACCTGGTTGTTTGTCCAAAGGTACTAGCAGTGTGGATTAAATAGGGTTTCCCCTCCCCCCCCCGAGAGCTGGTTGTTCAATGCCCCTGATTTTAAGGAACACCTTATTTATGGG